CACCATTGCGCTGCAAAGATGTACCGGGAGAAGCGCGATTATTAGATGACCGATCGTCATTTCCAAAAGGCAAATATTCCCCTTCAGAGTCAGAATCGGCGAATAACATTTGCAACACATCCTCACGGCACAACATTTTATTAGCCATTTGGTGATTTTCTCTCACAAATCTCACAATTTACTCGCACGCTATGAGCTGAAATGCTTCCGCATCAATGACACGATACCTCACTTGCTCTGCTATTTCCTCGAACACTTTGAATGGGCTCTAAGCAACGAGAATTGTGATGTATTTCCGCTCATACTTTATACCGGCAAGGGCGCTTCCGGTTTGTATGGTAACTAAGAGAAACCATCAGCTGTGGATGATCAGTTGACCAGCTATCTGCCCAATCAGATATCTAGGTGACACAGTTTATAGTTCTTGAGAGTATGGTACCTCTCATTGCATGGCACTTTATACCGTTTTAAATCGAGTTTATATCTTCTCCATAACCATTGAAAAGACGGTTTTCTGACGTCAAAAGCAAATGAAGGCAGCGTCGGAGCACTGTAGTGTCCCGCTGTGCTCTGTGTCTTCACGCTACAACTCCTGTGCTAGTTTTCATTCCTTTCCGGTGAAGGAAGAGATCAGGAAAAAATGGATTGTAAACATTAGAAGGATCAACTTCCAAATTACGAAACACACAAAGGTATGCAGTGTACATTTCAAACCAGATGATTTTGTGGAAGGAACAAGTAGGAGGCGTCTGAAAAAAGGGGCTGTCCCTTCAGTATTTGAGTGGAACCGTGAACGCCAAATGCAGCCACCTAGGTTAAGTGTTTGGGAACGACAAGAGCGACTACCGCTACCGGAATCAGATATGGAGGAAAACGAAATGGAAATTGATCGTTGACATACAGTCGGACATAATTATTGTTCAGTTCCGGAGCCTGCAGCTATGGACTTATCCCTATGTGAAAATGAGGAGTTGAAGAGAGAGATAGAAGATCTGCGGAAACAGCTGGAGCAGGCCAAGGTGAATAACCGCTTTGGCCTCCAGAGATTTGCGGGGTCTGATGAGGATATTCGCTTTTACACAAGGTGATTATTATTTGTTATGTAAGCCATTAGCACACTGGTAAAGTGTTTTTTATATGACCATTTCGAGTTATGGACGTAGTTGTAACTGTATGTAGGCTGTAGCCTTACGTTGGCTATACCTATCTGGCATAGGCCTACTGTAAGGTAACGTTATGAGGGCTGCGCTCACATACCTCTCATATTTCTGAATAGGGTTTTACCATCCATCATTGAACATGTTCTGAATGTCTTTATAATCAAGTATCACAAATACTTTGTCGCAGTCAGTCCACCTACCTTGATCCCAGATAATCCCTAGTAAACTAGGCCTAGTATATAGTTTATTAGTTTAATGTGTTAGGATGTGTGTGTGAGTGTTGAGGGGTGGGCGTGTGCAAAGTCAGTGTAGTTTCATTATCTGAGAATCAGTTTAAGACTGTAGTAATTACCTAATTATTGTACTATGTGTTATGCCTTAAATGTTTTAAAAGAAACAATTTATTTCTTTGCAGATTTGCAACCTATAAACACATGATGGCCTTCTGGGAACAGATTGAACCTTCAACACACAGGATGATTCGCGTCACCAGCTCCAAAGTCACCAGGGAGACTGGGCTATATGTGAAGACTCGGGCACTTCCTGCAATTGATGAATTCTTCCTCTTCATGATGCACCTTGCTTTGGGCCTCAAGCAGAAAGACCTGGCTCATCGCTTCCATGTCCATCAGACTACAGTGAGCCGCATCATAACCACTTGGGCGAACTTCCTCTATTTTCTTTTAGGTTCCGTGCAAATTTGGTTGCCGAAAGAGAGAGTACGAGCCTACCTGCCAGAGGAATTTGAGAATTTCCGAGACACCCAGGTTATCCTGGACTGTACCGAGCTCCGCTGCCAAACGCCTTCGTCTCTGTTATTACAGAGTGAGGTCTTTTCCAACTACAAATCTCACTGCACCTTCAAGGCTTTGATAGGAATGGCACCTCATGGTGCAGTAACTTTTGTCTCTGGACTGTATGCGGGGTCAATCAGTGACCGGGAGCTGTTCAAGCAATCAGGGATCATCGACATCCTTACCCCTGACATGGCCATAATGGTGGACAAGGGCTTCTTAATTGATAACCTGGTACCATGCAAAATCCACAGGCCTGCTTTTATGACCAAGGGCACACAAATGTCTGCCAGTGAGGTGAGACACACTCAGTCTGTGGCCAGGCTCAGGGTGCATGTTGAACGCCTGATCCGGCGGGTGAAGGAACATAAGTTGTTTGACGCAGTCATCCCCATGTCCATTTCTGGTAGCATTAATCAACTGTTTGCCGTGTCATGTCTTCTCATTAACTATCAGAATGGACCACTTGTCAAGGCATGGGCCCAGTGAGTCTACACAGTCATTCTTGTCTGTGTACTAAGTCTTTTAAAGTCTTTATTTGGCACATTGAAATGTTGTAAATATACTGTTGTAAATATGGTCTGGAAACTGTCTAATTTTCTTACTATGATTGCCTAATAGATTTTTTTGCTTGTTGCTTTTGTCTCATCTGGGATGTATTTTGACTTGCCACATATAATTCTGTTAACTACCAGAATGGACCACTTGTCAAGGTATGGTTTGAAATATTGTAAATATTTTCTGCAAACTGTCTAATTTTCTTACTATGATGGCCTGATGTTTTTTTGCTTGCCTTTTGACTTACCAATATATTTCATACCAACATTCTTTCATTACTGATACCTGATAATTAACATTCTTCTTGACCAGTTGGTTCATTAAAAAAATAATTTTACCATCCAACTTTTGACCTCCTTCCTTTGTTAGAGCAGCCATAGTTAAACCTGCAATTGCAACACCGTTCTAATTCTGTCAATCTTCTGCCACCTGCTCAAATCTTTATTTACAACTATGGTGAAAGACAAGACTAAGATAGTGTTTTCAAGTGTCTTTTCTATTTATTTGAATGTCGAGTCATAAGTTATATTTATGAATTACATTTATTATGATAGTTACCTTCAACATTCCTTCGCAATTATTACAGCAAATAAATAAATACGTACACAAAATCCCTTTCAGAGCCCATCAACAGTAACCTGATGGTCCATGGGCTACTGATATAGATATCGTACCTCAAAGTGATGATGTTACTGACCATTTCCTTGTATCGTGCATGCTGCATATTACTGATATTAACTATATGGCTCCGCGTTATCGTCCAGGCAGAACTATTGTTCCAGCCACCAAAGACAGATTCTGTTACGGACTGCTCAGAGACTGTGTGAGGATCCAAATGCCGTGTTTATAAGGAAAGTCCAGAATCGAAATCAGACAGCAGGCAAGGGTCAACACACAGGCAATCAGTCCTAAACCAGACTTATATAGGGTGAGCAGACAGGGTAAATGAGACACAGGTGCAAAGAGTGAGTGTTGATGAGTCCGGGCAAAGGATTATGGGAAATGAAGTTTTTGATGGAGTGGTAAAGTCCGGGATGGAGTGCCCTCTAGCGAAGCTCACGGGCACTCCAGCTAGAGATCATGACAGAGCCCCCCCCTTAACTCCACTATCAGTCCATGGTGGAGTTGACGAAGGGAGGAACCATGAAGGTGACACTGGAGGTATCAGGGGTCCGACTGACGGAGATGGAGCCGGTGGAAGGGGAGCCCAAGGCAGAGACAGAGAGCCGAAGAGCTGGGGTGACACTGAGGGATTGGAGGAGCGACCGAGAACCAAGGCGGAGCCGGAGGGAGAGAGGAGCCCAACGGAGCCGGAGGGACGGAGGGACGAGGCGAAGCCAGAGGAGTGTAGTCCTGAGGCGAAGGCGGATCAACGAATGACCAAGGTGGAGCCGGAGGAATGAGGAAGCCCGGTGGAGCTGGTGGACTGATGGGCCACAGTGGAGATGAGGGAGCTTTGAGCCAAGGCGACACCAAAGGGTCGACGAACCGAAGTGGAGTCCAGGTCTCAAAGGCCGGAGACGGAGACATGGGATCCTCCAATCCTGGTGTAGCTGAAGGCTGGCTGGCCCGAGGCGAATCCTGACCATTCACCACCCTTAAAGGATGACCTGAGGGACAGACAGACAAAAGCGGAGACAGAACACACAGCATGACAGGGAGAGGAGGAGGAGGGAGAGGGAGATTGGGTGGGACAACAAGTTCAAAACAGTGCTTATTCAGCGTGGTAGAGCAGGCAGAGAGTTCTG